CCCCCCTAACCCCGCCCTCTCCCCCCCCCCACTGAAAGACTCAGGGGTCAGGCATTAAAGGCTTGAGAGTTTAAGGCTTCAGCCTCTAAGCTTCCAAACGTTGAGGCTATGGAGTTTAGGAGTTAAGGTACAGGCACAGGCTTGCGGGCTTAGGGTTGAGAGCTTTGAAGGCTTTTGGTTTATGGTGTAGGTTTGGGAATAACGGCAAAGGGTCTAAGTCTAAATCTCTAGCTTGGGGTGTTATCGGGATTTGAGCACTCAAAGTGGGACAGGGAGACGACCAGAGGACTGAAGGGGTTCCCGCTTTCCGTCAGGTTCCTCTACGACTGCATGGTACATGGCTGTACCCTAAACCCTAAATAGGGCATTGGGAGTACAGTATGCTTACGATGGGACTCTCGTACCGCAGAGGCCGGCCCCAAGGCTTCAGGGCCAAAAACCTCGACTCAGAGTCATCCCAAACCCTAAACTTTAGGGACTTTAGGGTTTGGAGTTGAGGGTTTTGCTTAGGGCTCAGGGCTTAGATTTTAGGGTTTAGGGTTTAGGGCAAATCCTTTCTGGACCGGTACAAACCACCAGCAACAGTCCTTTCTGAATCTTAAACCCAAACGACATGGTATCGGTGTTGTTGAAACTGAAAGGTCAGAAGCACGACAACGAAACCGAGGCCACCTTCCGCGACCTGACCTACGCTGAGAAGTCCGCGCACCCATAAATCCCAGATACCCCAGAGAAAAACAAAAACAAAAACATTAAACAAGAACCTTCAGGGTTTAGGGTCTAAGGTTTAGGGTCTAGGGTTCAGGGCTTAGGGTTTAGGGTCTAGGGGGGGACAGGAGCGCCACTGCGAGTTCGACGCCGAACTCCGAGACCCCGTTCCGCCTAAAAGTCGGCCAATGCCAAAAAATGCCAAAACCCCAAAGCCTAAACCCAAAACCCCTGAAACTCGAGAAAATTTCGAGACTTATGGTTTCAAATTCTGGGAGCTGTGGTTTCGAGTTCTTTCTGCATCCCCGACGAATCTCTGCGCCTGCCAAAACCTTGAAGAAGCTGCTCGTGCAGCTTGACGACCTGCTCCGGGAGACTGTGCAAATTGGGAGTTTCCAAAAATTAAGAGTATACTAAGGGGCCTACTCGTTAGGGTACTATATTAGGGTCCCCTAGTTTCGGAAACTCTCATTTCGCAAGTCGTCGTGAGTTGGGTTGTAACAATATGGGTAATTCTCTAAATTAGGGTCCCTTTTTGGGTATCAAGACTAGTACGGCACCCTTCTAAAAAGGACCCTAAGAGGGACCCTATTCTAGAGAACTGCCCATATCAACATAAGAATACAAAGACCAAAGCTTTTCGTCAAACCATGAGGACGAGGACGGGAGCCTGGGTTTTTGTCAACCGGATCTGGCTTGAAAACCTGTTGCGAGGCTTCGTAGTTAATGTAGGGGCCTTGAAAGGGCTGGAGCCCCAAACCCTAAACCGCAAAACCCTAAACTCCAAATCTTAAACCAAGACCCTGAACCCTAAAAAACCCGAACCCTGAACCCAAATGCCGAGCCTGTCGAAATCGCCGGCGAATAGGCCACTGTGCGTTTCCTCGTCGGATGAGGAGAGTGTAGATCACCTCGAAAAGTTTAGGGGTTTAGGGGTTTAGGAATTAGGGCTTAGGGTTTAGGGATTATGCAGACCACGTTTGAAAGACCAATTCTTCGGGGCTGGGGTAGAGACAGGTGTACCAGAACAGTTCTCATCGCCCACATCGTAGATGATCACGAGGGTCCCAGGAGCTGTCACCAACTTCACTTTCTCGTACACACCTCTTAGATTCCATGCACTGGTCCAGCGTCGTGGCTCTCTGCATTCGGGCCCCTTTTAGGAACCCCAGATTGCCCCGGCAGTATAACACAGAGCCTAACAGGGTCCCTGCTTTAGAGAACTGGCCATATGGAACCTATTGGAACCCTTCTAGGCCCCCTTCAGGAACCCTAAAAAGGGACCCTAATGTAGAGAACTCGCCATCTAGGGCGCTCAGTGCAGGGTCTACATTGGAGAGCTCAGGAAGATCGAGGACGCGTGCCGCTACATTGAAGGGTTGAAGTCATTGATGGTTGACATTAATGACGACTTCGTAACTTTATACTTAATTGCAGTAATGTAAATTTACTTTTTACTTCACCACAAAATTAATTTGCTGGCGTTTAAGGTTTAGGGTTTAGGGAGCTTTGGGTTCGGGGTGTCCGGCTTTGGGCTTGGGGCTTGGGGTTTTGAGTAAGATCCATTGAGGAAAGGAAGGAAAGGAAGGAAAGGAAGCAAGGAAACAAAGCAGCCTCAAAAGAAACTGCAAGTGAGGCTTGAGGAAGGTACTGAATACTAAAGTATGGGGCGCTGGAGAACTGGGGAGCCAAGCGTGGCGTCCGCGACGTGCAGGTTCGAAGCTATCCACCTGGCTTCAGCACAGGGTTCAGGGCCCTAAACCCTAAACCTGAGGGTTTGGGGCTTTCGGCGAAGGAGGTTGGGGGCTTAGTCATGTGTGTAGTATAGCATAGGGGACCATTTAAAGGAAGAAACTGACTAACTACTCAGATCTCGAATGCACGAACCCTGATCGCCTGAATTTCTGTAGGAACCTGAACCTTCAATCCGACGTGCCGGGTTTCTGGCTTTGGCTTTTTAAGGTTTAGGCTTCAGGGACTTTAGGGTTCAGGGCTTGGGTCCAACACCTAAACCTTAAGCGATCAGACCTTTGACCCTAAACCAAACGAAAACCTCCCGGAAAACGAGGCTCCACCTGGACTCTGTATTCGGGGACGTCAGCCTGCAACCCAGGGTGAAGAGTGCAGAGGGGAGGGTCTACCGGACCTGACAATTTAGGTGCTTGGCTTTAAGATACTAGTACTGCAAGTCGGTATTTGGGCGAGCCTGTGATCATTTGGCACTTGGGTTGAGTTTGGGGTGTAGGGTTTAGCGCCAGGGCGTGGGGTTTAGTAGGGTCTTCGGGCCTCAAGGCTTAGGATGTACGTTTGAAGTTTAGGCTTTAGCGTCAGGGTCTCGGGCATACGTCTTGGGGTGTAAGATGTCGGCTTTGTTTTATCAGGGTGCGTGGCTTGGGGTTTAAGGGTCCAGGGCGTCGATTGAATTTTGGGGTTTACGTCTCGGACCTGTGGGTATCGAGATTGAACCTGGGAGCCCGCGAATATGGACAGTTCTCTAAATTAGGGTCCCTCTTTAGGTCCCCCAAAAAAGTACAGCACCGATCCAAAAAGCACCCTAAAAGGGACCCTAATTTAGAGAACAACCCCATATGGCTTTACGAAGCAGCTCCTTTCGGGCTGAGGGCCTTCAGGGCTTCCTTCCTGAATCCTCAGACCCTTAACTTAGGGCTTAGGGTTTGGGGTTTTCGGCACATCTGCAACCTCAAGGCATAATTGGCATAATCCCTACTAAACTCACAGGTAAACCACTCTGGGCTTATAGGGTTCTTGGGCGCGAGGACAAAGACAATTAAGGTGGGGCGAAATCACCGAACGAAGGCCACAAGGATGCGACTGGAAAGAGGTTCAAGGTTTAGGGCTGAGGGCTGAGGGTTAAGGGATACTGCTTCGCAAACCCTCCAGTGTCAAGAATTGGCTGCTCTAAACGAGGGTCCTTTTTAGGCCCTCCGACACCCGTGCAAAAAGGACCTCGAAAGGAACACGAATTTAGAGAAAAAACCACGTTCACAGAAAGCTGACCCCACAGCTCCCAACCCTCCCTAGCTGCCGCTGGCCGAAACTGAGGTTTTGGTGTTTAAGTTTAGGGTCTACGAGGTATAGGGTTTGGGGCTTATGGCTTTAACACTCACGGTTTATGGCTGTAAGACTTGCGGTTTATGGTTACCTGTAAGGGCTGTATACAGGTTTAGGGCTTCCTTACATTCAGGTTTGCGGGTCACTGGAATCCGGAAGGGTTACTACAAGAGCTCCCTTGGGGTATATTGTACAAGACTCATACTGTTGCGGACTGTGAGGTGATATTGCAGTGTTCCGTATTCCAACCCCGGTCCAACCCCTATTGTCGAGCATCGTGCGGGGCGGGCACAAACCCCTAAACCCTAGCACCAAATATCCCTGGAGCCAAAATCTTCGTGCACCTAGGATAGCCCTGACGCAGAACGTAAACCCGAAAAGCTGCAACCGCTTAAAGGCTTAAAGCTGAGCCACTGCATCTCCGTGCTTTCTAGCATCGCACGTCTTTCGATGTGGCTTTCCGGAAAAAGAGATCTCCAAACATAGACACACACCAACGGGATCCATGATTATTAACAATGCCACGATGTCCTGTAAGTTCTCCCAACAACTATTAGACAGCTTGCTGTCTATGCAGACATTGTGAAACACAGCCAACAGGGCTGCTTGTCGAAGAGGGCCACTCCAGAGCGAGGCAGACCGTACTGAACCGCACTGCTGCAGCGCCCCCTGCGGATTCGACA